AAAAGAAAAAGGGCAAGACAGGCAAGAAAAATACTTTTTCCCCCATTTGCAAAAAGAGGAAACTCTGAGGTTTCAGCAAATAATGTAATCGGCTGAGTCAGTTTATATTAAGGCATCTTCTTTACATATTATTGAATCCCATCATGCCTTTCATATTGCCAGCAGCACCCTGTTGAAATTGCCTCATCATTGACTGAAGTCCTGCCATACCGCCTAGAGAGAAAGTAAAATCAGATCATTATTAAGTAGACCTTGAAACATTTGTTACTTTTGCCTAATAAGTACTTTAATTCCCTAAAAATATACTGGGTTCTGACTGCAATTTGGTCATCAGCCTTAAAGAACATATCAATTCAAACTTTATATATTCACCAGTATCCTTATCTATAAAAGAGAATGAAGAATCTATCTCATCAAGTGGTGAGAAATAAATAATAACTGAAAAACATTAGAAATGAGTGTCTACTATAGAGTAAGAAGTAAAAAATCTAAACAAAAAATTTTAATTTCTGGGAAGCCCAAAAGAGTCTTACTGTAAATTATAATCAATTTGGAAGGGCAGAAAGTTATTTCATAGGACTTACAGAAAGAATTAACCTTTTATTGCCTGACCAGTGTGGCTCAGAGGTTGTGCGCTGACCTATGAACTAGGAGATCATGGTTCAATTCCCGGACAGGGCACATATGAGTTGTGGGCTCAATCCCCAGTGGGGGGCGTGCAGGAGGCAGCCAATCAATGATTCTCTCTCATTATTGATGTTTCTATCCCTCTCTCCCTCTCTCTGAAATCTATGAAAACATAAAAAAAAGAGATGATTAAGTAGCTTGCTCAACTATCACAAAGATGGCAGCAGAGAAGTGAATAAAACTTCAGCTTACATAGGCACTATTACAACTATTCAACTTAGAATTCAGATGGTCATTTTCCTAAAATCACATATCTGAAGAGATTTTCACAATATCACCAACAGAAGGCTTATTAAAACTCAATCCTTAACAACTGACAATAACTTTGTATTTACCCATGTGATGAAGAACTCTTGGATCCATCATTTTGGCCATTTGTTGATTCAATTTTGCCATCTGTGACTGGCTTACATTCTTAGACATGTCACCACCTGAAAATAAAAAAGGTTTTGAGTCAATATAGAATGTAATACAATCAGGATATCATAGAGAGTTTAATAAATTGAGTACATAAAAAGAAAAAAATCACCTATAATCTTATCACTCTAACACAATCATCTCTCTCTCTCTCTCTCTCTCTCTCTCTATATATAT